ATATAAAATTTAACTAATAAAATCCGTTATAGAAAGAGGTTTTAAATAGTAAAAAATTGGGCCAGAATTTTTTGTCCATTATAGAGAAAAATCCGTTATAGAAAGATCCGTTATAGAGAGAGTAAACTGTATCAGGTAAACGTGAAGCAATAATCAAGGGAACTCCAAGAAAATATGCAGAAATATATACAGGTAAGAATTATTAATGGTTACATAACCAATGGTTATGATCTTTTCAATGGATAGTCTTGAAAATGCTTAATAATATTAAAATTAATTAAATTTTATTTTTATAAAGCATGTTGGCAAGGAAACCCAGATCTCCGCCCCCATCTTCATCAAGTTATGCAGGATTTGGACAATGTTGATGTAAATAATACTATTGAAGATATTGTTAATTTAACAGATCAAACTAAATAATGAATCACAAAATGACATTATTATATTCAACTGAACTTCCATTATCAGCTGAGCTGAGCTGATAGTTTAAATGATAAGAAAAGTAAGAAAAGTACACAGCATATGAAGCATATAATATTTTAGTATTGTTAAACACACATACAGAGAGAGATAGACTATTATAGATTATTATTATAGATTTTATTATACATGTATATTTTTTATTATAGATTTCTTATTATGGATTTATTATTATAAATTTATTATAGATTTTATTGTTATAGATTTATTTTTATAATTCTGTCAATTCATAATAATGTAATATTTTTAAGTATTTGTAATTTGTAATTAATTATGCAAGTATTTGTAATAATGCGAGTATTTGCAACACTTTTGAGCATCCATAATAATGGTAAATGGCAATTGGAATATGGATATTAATACTTTAATTATTAAACTCAAAGATTTTAATCACATTTAAAAAATGTCAAATTTCATGTTTTGTTTTAAAAACAATAACCTTTCAACATGATCAGGTTGTAACATATTATGATGTGGTGTAATATGGTTGCCTGCATTGCTAATCAGCCTTTTTGCAGGTACAAACAGAGATAGCAGAAATTTTCTAGCTTTATTATGGGGAATTTTTTTTATTTTCATACTCAAGGTTCAACATCTTTTTTAACTTTCAATGCCAAATATGTTGAGATTTCATGCTGTTCATCATCAACATTATCATCATCAAATTGATATTTCCTTTGTTTCAACTATGATATCGAAATTATTAATTGAAGAATCAGGAGTTGTGGTTGTGGTTGGGGATTCTTAGTTATTTTTTAACAGGTTAAATTGGCATTTTAATATCTATTTTGTCTTTTTTTTTGACCCACTGAACTCAAATGGCAAAGTTAAAGCTGTGCTCAAGTTTGAAAAATTTTTTAGATAATAGTAACTAATGATTTTATTTATGCATATTACCTAAAAAACAATTTAACAACCTGTTTTTGAACTCGGCTCAAACTTGAAATTCAAATCTGCTCAACTTAGAGTTTCTATATTCGAATAAAATGAATAAAACACCAAATTCAGATTAAGATTACGAATAAACTGAATAATGCTTTGTATTACTATTGCTGTTATGAATAGAAACTTTAATTGGTGGTCCGCTGATTAATGATTTGAAGTTGCACAACTTTACTATCAAAAATGAAATTTAACACAGGATGTTCTTTCCCATTTAGTAAGAGATCTTCTAAACACGTGACCGGACCAAATTATAAAATTCGGTTCAGAAAACCATCATCATATTTTTTTATAAGTAATCAACAAACAACACATTACTAACAAATTTACATTCTTCCGATTAAAAAAAGGTCAAGACAAAATAAGCAAATTCCACATTTAAAATAAATAAGATAATGAATTGAACTCAGATAAAGAAATTGATTATATGAATATTTGAAT